CGCTGGGGCTGGCAGCGCCAACAGCCCGGCCGGCCGCGGGGCTGGGGGCGGGGGGCAGCAGAAGCGCGGCCCCCCCGCCTCCTCCCGGAGCAGATGGGGAGCCCCGCCGGGCCGGAGCTTGCCCGCAGCTCCGCGCTGGGCCCACGCTGCGCTGAAGGAGGAAGGCTCGGCTGTCAAGGTCAGCGCTGTGCCCGCCCCTCCGAACGGCCAGCGACGCGGCTCCCGGTAACAGCAATGAGCCCTTCGGAGCAGAGCTGGGCTGGGCTCGGCTCTAGCCTCCCCTCCGGGTCGGTGCTGGGACCGCTGGAGGGGCCCCCACCTCGCCAGGGCTTCAAGGCACAACTCCGAGCTCAGCCTGCAGTTCCCCAAAATTTTCAACGCTGACTGCCAGCGGCGTTCTCCTCCCATTCCCGTAACAACAAAGAGGTGGGGGAAGAGAAATCATTCCCCCTGACATCATTCCTCCTTTGGTCACCCTGAGTAGGGCGCCTGAGGTGACCCTGACAAGGAGGAGAGTCGGGGGATCTGTCACAGTCTGTGAGGGGCTTCCCAACACCAAGCAGAGGCAGCTATGGAGGGTGCTCAATGTCCCCGTGGAAGCAGCACAGGGACACAGAGCACCCGTGGGAAGCCACAGCTGAGCGTGGTGTGTGGCTGCAGGCGCATGGCCCAGGCCCTGGCAGCTCCTCCACGGCCAGCTCCGATCCCCACAGCGCTGCCAGCACCGCCGGCCGCAGCGGGATGTGGTTTCCGGCGCCTGGGATGGGGTTACACGCAGGCCGGGAGCCTGCCAGGCCCCCCAGGGCAGAGAGACCAGGCACTCACACCCCCAAAACCCGCTGGGACCCACGGCAGCCCATCCCCAGGGGGACACAGAAAGGCTCGGGCGCTAATCCGCGCTGGCTGCCCGCTGCTGACTCAGCCCAGGACGTCGCTTTCCACTTGACCTATATTTGGTGGGAGTTGTGGGGAGGGAAAGGGATTCGTGGGCTTGTGGGTAAAGAGTGAAACCTCTGAGAGCACCTGCCAGCGCCGTACCTTGCTGATGGCCATCAGCACCGTGGAATAAGACACCATCTACAACACAGAAAGGCAAAACAAGCACGGTGTCACGGGGACTGTGTGCCAGCACCGCGCTCGTTGCTGAGGAACGGCAAGGTCAGGGCACGGCCCCACTGCCTGTCACCGCAGACAGGGCCGGGGCCGGGGCGCTGACCCGGCACAAATCCAAACAGACATTTTTAGGTGATCGCTGATGTGTTTCACACAAACTTTAGGCGATATTAAATGCCAGGATATGAAAGCGTGGAGCTCACAGCGAGTGCAGAGGCTCTTGGGGGGCAGAATTCCCACCCTGGGCGATGGCAGAGGCTATTTATGGAAACATCCCTGCCCAGGGCACGCGCTGAGCCCTCCACTGCCTGCCCCGGCCCAGGAGAGACTCAGATCAGGGATTTGGGGTGTCTGCCCAGCCCAGGAGAGGCTCACATGGGGGATTTGGAGTACCTGCCCACCACCAACACCCCAGTTGCTCTGCCCAACCTTGCTGAGGCTGCAAGGTGACCCCCAGCAGCACCAGCAGGTCCTTACCTGGGAGCTGATGGCATATTTCAGGTAGGACAAGATGAGTGGGTTTGGGGATGGCCCGATCATGGCCTGCTCCAGGAGAGCCTCTGCAAGGAAAGAGGGTCCCAGGTCAGCACATGGGGACACACAGACACACTCTGTTCTCCCCTCATCCCACAGGGAAGCTGGCAAACTCCAACTGTACCAACCACAGCAACTCCACACCAGTTTTCTCCTAAATTCACTGAATCCCACAACTTTCTAATCCCCTGATGGGCACAAGCTGGTGAATAATTCAGGCAGAACACGCAGCCTCCCCAGGCGCTCCAGCCCCAAAACTGCTGCTGCTGCTGCTCTTCACATTCCCCACCCTCCCACTTCTTGCCAGAAGGCTCCTGCAGCCTCCACCGAGTGGCTTTTGCCCAGGCACCTGGGGCTGAGCTTGGGGCCACCAGTCCCCTGCACTGGGCGCAGCCCTGCCTGTCTGGCCCTCGGTGGCCTGAGGGGCTCTGCCCGTCCCATATGCTCAGCCAAGCCTTTAATTGCCCATTTGAACCATGGCAGAGTGCAGGAAGCACCTCCCGAGCAGGCCCCGGGCTGTGGCACAGGCTGCAAGTAGGTCAGAGCACCCAGATGTAAAAGGGGGAGCAGCAGCCGGGTTGGAAGTTGTCGCCCCAAAGCCGAGGAGGAGGAGCCGCCGCCGGATCCTGAGCGCGGGAGCAGGAGACTCCCTGGGTCTCACTCCAAGGCTGAATCCTGGGCCAAGAGCATCTAGGATGAGGACAGAAGGCTGGTGGCAGCCGTCCCCTCCCCAGCCCATCCCAGAGTGTCACCACGAGCCAGCCACATGCTGCTCCCCGCTGCAGACGTGTCAGTAGCGATCTGCCAGGCCCTGCCGTGATCCTGGCAGCTCGTGCCAGCTTTCCCTCCTTTGTACTTCCAAGCTGAAAGGCACGAGCTTGGGAAAGGACAGCTCTGGGGGCTGTGGGGAAGAAGGGAGCTGCTGTTCCAGCCATCAGAATCTCGGGAATGGGCTCTCCCTGTGTGCACACAATGCTCAGGGCCAGCGTTCTGCCCCCGTGGCTCCCAAAAGGAAAAGGGGACATGGCTCCTTCCCCTCCTGGCAGAGGAGCTGCCCCAAAGAAGCCATGGAGCCCTGGCTAAATGTGGGCCAGGAGAAACCCGTTCCTGCAGAAATAATAGGGAATTATCATCTCTGTGTCTGTTTTTGGGGATACACAGATGAGCCCAAGCCAAGCACCCCGCAGGCCTCGCTGCCAGCAGAGCAGGAGCTGGTGCCACCAGGGTAGGAACAGGCACCAGGGAGTCCCAGGGACCAGCTGGGCAGCAGCAGGACTGGCCCTCGAGCCAACCACCCCCACCCCCAGCAAATCCATCCAGAGCAAATCCATCTCCCCACAGCCACAGCTCCACTTGGCCCCTCCAGCCACACCTTGGAGATGACAAACCCAGTAGGGGCAGCTCAGCAGCGGGGACAGGGTGTGACAAAAAAACAGACACTGACAGAAAACCCAATGGGAGGATGGAGAGAGGGGAAAAACATCCACAGGGGAAAGATCCCCACACTCAGAGGAGCGAGAGCTGCTGCCTGTGTGGGGCTGGTTCCTTTAAACCCCCTGGAGCAGCAACCCCCAGCTCTGTTTATTTATCTGTGGACTTGTTGCACAGGGAAAATCCCAGCACCAAGTTTCTATAATTAGCAGGAGAGGCTGGCAAATCTTTAAACCAGTCCTAGCCTTTGGCAGGATTTCTGTGAAATGCCCTTGAATTGGGCTGGGAAGCAGCCTTGGGAGCAGCACCTGGCTCCTGTGCAGCGCTAGAACCGGGAAATGGGGGAATCATTGAGGCTGGAAAGACCTCCAAGAGCATCTCACCCCTAACACAAGTCCCCAGGAGCCACATCCACATGGTAACTCCACCACAGCCTGTTCCACCACGCCTAACCACCCTTTCAGCAAAGGAAGTTCTCCTAATTCCCAACCTAATTCTCTCCTGGCTCTCAACTCGAAGCTGCTTCTCTCATCCCAAAAGCCAGGCTGTGCTGACCCCTGAACCATCCCGTGGGGAAAAAGGAGGGAATGACCCCAAAATGCAGCCAGAGGGGTGGGAAAGGGCTGGGGAACATTTGGGAACGAGCTGGCATGGTTGGGAATGGGCATTTTGGCGTAAAAAGCGGTATGGGATCGGGGGAGCCCAAAATGCAACAGGGACCCCCTTAATACCCCTGTCTGCACCCCAGAGGGGGGAACACTGGGAGCAACACCCCAATACCCGCGTGGGAGCCCCCAAAGCAGCCCAGTGTGCCCAGTAAGGAGGGGGAACCCCCCGCCTCCCCCCGACCTGCCAAGTTGAGGATGTCCCAGGTGGCTCCGCGGGGGAAGAACCGCTTCATGTTTATGGCCCATTGATAGTCGCTCCAGCGCTCCTTCCAGGCCTGCAGAATGGCCTGCTTCAGGTTCACCACCTTCATGGTCACCCTGCGGACGGACAGCTCAAGGCGAGGGGGACGGAGCCCTGACCCCACCGGGTGGGGC